CCTGTGGTAGTACCTTCCTTGTTGCGCAAACAGTGACATTGATTGCTAGAACTGGGCAATTTTTGCCTTTGTTACATATGTACATGTATGGGCACCCCCATATGAAATGGACCTTGTGTCACATCCTGCCTTAACGGAGAGAGTGGGTAAATAAAAACAGTAACCAATGCATATATACAAATAAGAATTTTAAAAAAAAAAAAGTACACTCTAACTTAGATACCTCAACAAAAAAGGTAAAAAGCTCCTAAAAAGGAGCATAGCATGATGAAAGAGGGCCTTAAACTTGATGAAAATAATTTTTTACTGTCTAAATGTTTGTTATTATTAGGAGAAAAGATCAAAGTATTTTTTTGAGTGCTTTTTTTACACTTTTTAATCATTCCTAGCATGTCTGAAATTTTCATTAAAAATCTTGTTTTTTTTTTTTGAGTCAGCAAAATTGACAGCTTAGCTTTCATCTTTGCGTTTACGATGCTTTATGGAAAATATATTATAAAAAATAAGACTTGAGAGTGAGATGAAATTTCATAAGGAAGATATCAAATTAATTTATAGGTACCTTTCTTGTAAAATTTTATCAGAAGTGTACATTTATTACGTTTTACTGTGTTATTTGTATTTCCATTCATTTTATTATTAATTTTGATATTTCATTTATGGAAAAATTTCATAACTGATAATAAATGTCAAATAAAAATAAGATCATATAAATTTATAAACTTGTAGGTACCATTCTCAGGTGAAATTGAAAAATCAAATTAACTACTCCATGCATGTTTCACATGAACAATTTGCAAAAATAAAGGCTGGAACAGAGGGGGAACAATGCTTAACTCAAATAATGTGACATTTTATTGTTTTCATGTACAGTCTTCCATACATTTGAATTACAGCCATTTTATGGACACAGAAGCCATGCAAAATTGGATTTTTAATACACTGGTGGTCCATTGTAATAAGCTTTATAATTTATAATCTATAAAGATAGATCTACTTAACACCATTGACTAAACTGTACATCATTTTCACTCATTTTAGAATAGGCACCTTCATGAAAATCGATAGCATGACAAGAACAGCCTGAAACTTGATGAAAAATTTTTTTTCATCTTAAATGTATATTATTAAGAAGAAATACCAAAGTATTTTTGAAATTTTTTACTCATTCTTAGCATGTCCGAAATTTTAGTTAAAAATCTTTTTTTTTGTCAGCGAAATTACTATAAAACACTCATGTCAGCAATTTTTTAAAAATTTTGTAAACCAAGTTAAATTCCTCATTTAAAACTCATCCAAAAATCAATTATACGTTTTTCAAAATTTATTTGAAGAAAATTAGAAAATTTAAAGTTTATTTAATATATTATGAAAGAAACTTTTACATACTTTCTTTGCAGAAAAAGGTTTTTTAAAATAAAAGAGAGCCGATCTTAACATCGTTGGCGATTGTCAAGTGCTGAATGATGATATTCATCACGTATTGACAGCTAACGTGAGATTCGAGTTATCATACAGGACAGAATTGACATTTTTAAATAGGTAACTCCACGAAATCGCTAAAAAAATAGCATAGCATGATGAAAAAGACGCCAAACTTGACGAAAGCAAAATTTTATCGTCTAAATGTTCATGTTATTATTAAGAGGAAAGACCAAAGCTATTTTTTAATTATTTTTTAAAATTTTTCTTTCTTTTTAGAACATTCTAAATTTTGATTAAAAAAAAAAAAAAACCTTGTTTCTCTTTGTATCACCGTAACTAGTAAAATAGACAATTTTTAGCACGTTTTTTTTGTATGACACACACTAATTTGGAAAATCTTGCAAAAATAAAAATAATTGTTAGATGTTAATGAAACTTTCAGAAACTATTCACAGATGATCGAAATTATTATAAGTTTTTTTTTATTAAAGTCATGGCAGAAATATCTTTATATTTATTACCCCCCCATAACTAATTTTATGAAAATACTAGAAATTCGATAGCATTGGGTTTAGTGATTACAATAGTTAAAAGCACAAGGCTTTGATAAATGCAAATCATGTTTTTTTGTTTGTTTTTTTAATTGGATCCGCAGTACCTGAAAATCAGCTCTGAATTGTAACATACAAAACTCAATAAAACAAATATATTATTTAATTTCAAATGATTTTATGAATATGGACAATATTTTCTGAAAGCAAAAAATTTTTTCAATGAAAAATGAATTTTTAATACAATTATTTGTAATTTCTTTAATTATAATAGAGTTTTACATTTAAGTTGTTAAAATATTATAAAATTAGTCAAAAGCTGTATCAGGTTTCCTAAGTGTCCTTATGAGATAGATCTTTTTTTAGCGCGTTGTAAACTGTATCATTTTGACTAATCAGAAGATCTGCAGTAATTAAAAAATGTAATCGGGCTGTAATTATAAAGTATGGAAGACCAACCAGGATACAATTAAGTTGCGTTATTTGAGTTAAGCATTGTTCTCCGTTGTTAAGGTCTTTACTTTTGCGCAACACGTGTGGAGAAGTTAATTTGATTTTTCAATTTCAACTGAGAAGGGTACCTACAAGTATCAGTATCATCTTATGAAATTTATATAATCTTATTTTTATATTAATCTCCGTTAAAAACATAATGTAAAAAATAATTAAATATTTTTTTAAGACATACAAAACAAAACTGTTTTAAAAATTCATTTTTTATAAAAAAAATTTTGCTTTCAGACAATATTATCAATATTCATTAAAGCAATTAAAAGCATTTGTAATTAAATATCTTTGTTTTATTGAGTTTTTTTTTTTTTTGTATGATACAATTCAGAGATGATTTTCAGGTGTTGTTCCAAAAAAAAAAAAAAAAAAATGGTTTGGTGTCCTCAAATCACTAATTTGTCCAAAATTGAAAATATAAAGTTTTGTTTTCGTAAAATATAATTATGGGAAGTGAGGTGGTAATAAAAAGAAAATTGCCATGACTTTAAAAAAGCAAAACAAATTTCCATCATTTTGAATAGTTTCTGAAAGTTTCATTAAAATCCGAAAATTAATTTTATTTTTGCAAGATTTTCCAAATTAATGTCTGTCATACAAAAAAAAAACGCGCTAAGATTTTGTTATTTAGTTAGAGAGTAGTTCCGCTGATACCAAAGAAAAACAAGTTTTTTTTTTAATCAAAAGTTAGAATGTTCTAAACAGAAGGAAAAATTTTTTTAAATTATTTAAAAAAAATACTTTGTTCTTTCCTCTTACTTAATAATAAAAATTTTGACGACAAAAATTTTGATTTTCGTCAAGTTTGATGTCTTTTTGTTTTTATGCTCTTCTTTTTTTTAGTGATTTCATGGAGGTACCACCCTAACATTTTTTTTTTTTTTTTTTTACTCTCTTGTCTAAAAACTACCTTTTTTTTTTTTTTACATTGATTTTTTTACAAAATAATATAAATTTAAAATATAAAATAAATAAGTTAAATTGAATTGCTAAAATTAGAAAGTAACTAAAAATAAACAAATGACACAAAAAAACTAAAAAAGTGTTCGGTCAAAAGCAAAGTCATGGTTTCATTTTTTAAAACAAAATTGCTTCGAAAAACTTTTCTCAAATATCGTATCAGACTTTGTTTAACTTAATTCATTTATTTTTTTTTTTTAAAACAAAAAAAATTCGTGATGTGCTTGTAACCGTTACAATGTAACGTAAATAGTAAACACGGTAACAGCTATCACCGCAAAAAATGGAATCGGGGAGAAGGGTTCGAATTCAGTCATAGTTTGTTGCGTTCACTTCCACACAAATATCCTTGGATGCCTCTCTTATACGCAGTTATGGAGTAATCTTCGGGTAGACTTACTTAACTACCTAGATTTTGTTGACAATCAACGGAGATTTATAAAAAAAAAAACACAAACAAAAAAATGCTAAAAAAAAAAAACATAAATAAACAACGGGAAACCGCTCCACTGTCATTTCCATGGCAATTTGAATTCACAGATATTTATTAATTTAATTTAAAGAAAAGGGAGGTGTGGAAAGACATAATTGTCACGTCCTAAAGAGACTCGGATACAAAAAAAAAAAAACAGAAAAACAATACAAACCGATTTAAAAAGTATTAAAAAAAAAATAATCACTTTTCTCTTCCATAATTTTAACAACGGCAATTTTTTTTTTTTTTTTTTTTTTTTTACACAGATTACCATAAATTATTCTGTTCAAAAGTTTTACATTTTTTCCGCTCTAGAAATTTTTCGTTTTTTATATATTTTTTTTTAATAATTTAATTATGACTAGTGTCATAATTAAATTATATTTTAAATATTTAAAATCCCTTTTTCTGGTGCGAGAACGTAAAAATTAGCTCTTCTAGAAAGTTATTTTTAAACTTACAAACGAGGAAATAGGACCTGAATATATGTTTGTCAATAAGTGGCATTAATTGAAATTAAAATTTTCAAATTTATTACGATGTAATTTTGTTTACGATAATCTTTTTAAAAAATTAAATGTAAAAATATAGCACAAGAAGAATAATTTAAAAAAAAAACAACTTTTTAATTTCTTTCAATTCGATGAATTAAAAGAAAAGAAAGTATTTTTTAAAGAAGTAAATTTATGGGAGTAAAACTTGTCAAGAAAATACCGTAAAATAAACTGAATGATAGTCAGAGAGCAGAAGTATCCATAACAGTTTCAGTTAAATTAATTAAATATATGAATTAAAATCAAGCAAATGATATTTAAAAACTGTAATTAGGTAGTAGTTTATTATTAGAAAAAGAAAAGGGGAAATCAATACAAAAACATACATTTTTTTTTCACCTTCCAAAAAAAAAAAAAACATATCTGGCCCAGTTTCTGACCCCACAAAAAAAACTACCAGACAAACAAAAAAACAGTGAACTTATTTAAGAAAAAAGAAAAGCAATATCTTAAAGGAATAATCCTCTTCCTGGTGAAATTAGGCATCTAATTAACTTGAATATATATAATCTGTTTTGTCGGACTCACCTGTATTGAAAGACCCCTAAAATCGGGACTTAATACTCGACTGAGACCGTCTCTTGCGATTTAACTCTAGGTCATCACTAGCTAAGCGGCATAACTCGTACTTCCTCAGCGCAATGAAGAATGTGGAGTTATCGTCCCTGAATTGATTATTGCTTTAGATTATTTCCAAATGCTGTTGCGAACAGCACTAAAGTGCTTGCATGCTTTCGATAATAAAATAAAAATAATGCCCCCACACACACACAAAAAAAAAAAAAAAATGGAAGGATTTCCCAGTTTTTAAAAATTAATATCAGGGAATTATCCGATTTAAATGAAATTTTCAGTACTTGAATGATTTTTGTGTTGAATAGCTCTAGAAAAACTTTGAAGAAATATTTTTTGTTACTGTGTTTTTGTGGGGGGGTATAATTTCGTTCACTTATCGTGAACTTTGGGGGTGTGTTCACGGAATTCTTTTTTTTTTTTTCTTAAAGTTATGAAAAGATAAACCTCTGAATGATATTTCAGTAAAGAAAAAGAAATTATACAACATCAACCGTGAGCAATTGAAAATTGTTCCGAGACCTTACCAAAGATAATTCAATAAAAAAAAAAAACTCAAAACATATTTTTTGAATATTTGCTGTTAGTTAGTTTGCATAATTTCAAAAATATTTTTTCACAACATATATTTTTTTAAAACTTGTAATTTTCCAATGCGATTTTAATCTTCATAGAAGCAAAATATTCTTTTTAATAAAGACATGTTTAAAAGAATCGAAAGATAATCAAATTTTCGCGTATTTAAAGGATTTTTTTTTCATTTTTATAACAGTTAGATTATTTTTGTACGGAAGTTCAAAAAGGATATAATTCAATAATTTTGTAACAGCAATAGTGTTAACAGTATCAATTTATTTAGGACTTTGTCAATTTTCCTATTTTTTTTAGTACTTCCTTTAGTTTAAAAAATTCAAAATAGGAATAAAAGAAAGACGTCATTAAGTATAACTGGAGGAAATATAAACCCTATTATCATTACATACCCACCTACAGACCATATTAAAATACGCCTAAACTTTATTTTCTACCCAATAACAATTAACATTTACAAACATAAAATGATTCCACGATACAGCACAGGCCGTTTCAATCAAAGTGTGTATTGGTTAGAAATTAACATCATCATATCAAATATTTAACAAATCAGAGAAAACTAAAACGCTAATTTTCTCATGGAACCCGATTTTCTACTTTCGGGAAAATTTTCTTATAAAAACTCGCAGATTTCGACTTTAAGGAGCAGAGATGCAACTGTCTCCAAGCCGTTCGAACACAAGAGAAAACGTGGCTACATAGCTTGTTTCCTCCCCACGAGCAAGTGCTGAAAGAAATATGTATCAGTGATTAGAAACGAATCATCTTCAACAACAGCAGGGACTGTCAGCGAATTTTCACTTAAAACTAAAAGTATTTTCTTAACTACAGGTTTTACTGTGAACCAACTACTAAAAAGTATTTTCTATACCTTATCTTTTCTGTGGACCAACTACTCAAAGACTTTAACTCAACTAAAGACTATTTTTACTTTTTTTTTTGAGTCTTTTGAATTCATGTACATGTATATTGCGCGTCGGTGCATGCGTTTCCTAACCTACTTGCGGGCGTTAGTAACGTCGTTGTTAGGGTTGAGAAATAAACGTGTGTCTCCTGAAACGTGGCAGACTCGGGATGTGAGTCCACGTAAATAAATGAAAAGAAACGACAAGAACCAATATATATATACAAACAAATAATGTGTTAACAAGTATACAAGTGACAATGAATAGGAAAACTGTCTTGGTCCAAATTATGCGTAGTGAGTGAATGTGCGTACGTACGTGTGTGTATGTATGTTTGTGTGCATGTATTGTTCATGCATTTCCCAAAGGGAACGCATTCTCCGCGAAAGGTTTACATGTTGATGAAAAGGCGGATAAGATAAGAGGTTGATAAAAAAAATCATCGCAGAGTATTTATAGTCCTGAGAGCGGTTTCGAAAATTAGGAGGAGGTAATCCGACCTATGTTTGTAAATACAAATAATTTATTTAACAAGCATACCCGGCAGAATTTCCTACATAATTAAATATTTTATAGATAAGAACATATTCAAAAAATGAAACTCAAAATTATCAGAGATCCTGTTCCCAAGATTCTATAGTTAGCGGGTCGCGCACCAGAGAGATTTGGGAACAAGATCTTTGAATATCCAGTGTTTAGCGAGTTGAGGGAGTAGTACGAGCGTGAGTTGCAGACCTGGATGGAAAACGGTTGGCTGTTGCCATATATTGGTAATACGTCACGCCCAAGACGACGTGCCCGTCTCCTCCGCGTTCGCCAATCCACCATTATATTCAGTGACCCCAGCACGAGGGCACATGTGGCACAAGGACGAGTTTAACGTGGGTCATCCGAGCCCGTAGACTCAGCCAAAAATACCTGTAGAACGCGCATAAACGGGTTCGGGTCTGTCTACCTCCCCGGATGAAACTGCCCTTCGGCACAGCCTCGCCCGGGTTCCTCTCTGCCCAAGGCAGAGAGTTCGACAGGAGCTGCAAACAGTCACGGCCTCGGAAGAACAGTCTATATTACCATAATCAATGGCCAATCTGCCATCGCACTGATGCTGGGTCTATCGACTGACACTCCTCACAACTCCAAACGACTGCCCTCACTGCCGCTTTTGACACGGGCGAGTCAGCCCTACGCGCAAAATATAATGTCCACATAACTTCAGGGTTTCCGCTGCGTCAATGAACCTCTGTCAGATGTGCAACAACAAAAGCACATACTGGCTGTATAGGGTGGTCGTTCAGAGTTGTGAACTCTGTAGACACAGCACTGGTACGAAGGCAGAAGGTAGGGCTCTGTGTGCGTGAAAGGTGGAACCGGATAGACATGGACGGCCGGTTCGACCTGAAAATTATTCCCGAATTTGACGTGACTGGAGCTGTGATTGATTGAATCAAGGAAGCACTAAACAGTGCCTTTGGCTCTGATAGATTCACGGCGTATGAGAAGCTTAATGCACGCGTGTTGCGTCCGGGTAAGACTATAGATGTGTATTTGGCGGGTTTGCGGAAGGTGACGGTCCTTTTCGAAGGAATGCCAGACTGTGCAACGGCATGCATGTTCGTGCGGAGGTTTCCTGGCCACGTGAAGAGGCACCTACGGCCTTCCTCCAAGATGCATGATATTTCTCTTGAGGATCTGTTGGCCCGAGCTCAGGCGCTTATGAAAGACGAAACTGCAGTGGAGGTACCAGTCATTACCGCAGCGCAGCCTGCCCGGATTGCTCAACCGTACCCAACATCGCGAGGAACTGTGTACGGAGAGGGCAGTCCGTTCGTGCACGTTGTTATCAGTGCAACAAAACCGGTCATCTGGTCAGAGATTGTTCCGGGAATGACGTTAGGTAGACGGAAATGGAAGCGAGCAGACGTGGCAGTTGGGAGACTGTGTCATTCGTTAACAAGCTATTTCGATTGAAAGAAATTGACTTTATGCACCCGCCTGACTAAGGGACGTCGGCCCGGTACAGAGAGGAGGAGGCAGCCTGGGTGAAAAATCCACAGGGACAAGGCACGTCAAAATTTAAAACAGGTCGCGTTACTGGGATAACCAGTCCACAGTCGGTGGTCGACGACGGCACGTGGGAGACGTGTGTCCACGGCTTATTTCGGGGCCGCCAGTGAACGATGGCGGTGACGCATTATCAAGGAGTAATGAATGGCGAGTACCAGGATATAGTACAGGCAACCGTAGCACCCCATCTGAGAGCGAAGAAGAAGTGGGACCGACCGTTATCAAGACCTCCACATTCCGTGGATTCTGATTCAGACCCCTAGCACGTCTGACGATTCGGCCGGGGATGGAGTTCTTGTCCCATTGCGAAGGAATGCTAGGGGGAAACGACCAGCCCCCTCTCCATTGTCACCTGTGTGATCATACGATCAGGGGGTAGTGTGACGATAGATATTCGCACTTACCTGATCCAAAGTGTCTGAGGTGTCTGGCCTGCTGAACCGCCATTTACGTGAGGTCTAAGGCGCATGCGTGATGTTGAGCCTTTTTATGAACGTCGGACATTTGCATACGAGGATGAGCACCCACTTTAAAAGGCGGTATACAACAACTGTTGAAGGGCAGAGAAAAAAAAAATTGAAGTTGAAGCGAGCAGACGTGGTAGTTGGGAGATTTTTTTTTTGCAAAGACTGCTATTCGTTAACAGAGACATTTATACATAAATATATAAGGATTTATTATCGAAAGGTTTGGTTGTTTTGGTAGATAAAAGTTCTCGTAATGTGGTTGTAAAATGTTCTGATATTTATGTTGTTGAATGAGTGAATTATTTTATTGTGAATTCTATTGTGGAATCTTCCACAACAAGCCAGTTAAACACTGCTAGGAAATGCACTATTCCTGTTGTAATTTTCACCATCACAATCTTACAAAATATATAACAAGCATTCATTGGTTAATCACCTTCAATCTAGTTCGCTGATTGGTCAGTTCCGACCAATCAAACCGCCTGCACGCGACAAATCTGTTTTCCCGCGTTTTCCATCTGAGCCTGTTACGTGATACAACAAAATTATAAAAACAAAACACATGTAAACTCTCTCTCTTATTCCTTGCTGCCAAGATGTAATCTTCAAGAACTCCCGTCTTAACTAATGCAATCAGACGTTAAAGACCATTACCAACATTCACGCAAGTACGAACTCAGAAATCTCTTCTGAACTTTTATCAACTTGTACAATACACAATTCCAAACATGCTAAAGAAACTTTATTCTTCTAAACTACAGTTTAATAATTACTTTCACTTTATGAACTTAGGTACAAATATTACCTAATCTAAGAGACACAACTCTGTCTAACCTTTTCACTCAGTATTCATGCATGTATATCAAATATTAATAAATTCAATTGTCACGTTTTGAAACAAGATGTTTATGAATCTTTATTCTCCGTCTTGTATTAATTTGGAAAATTATCGACCTTCTTGAGGAATAGTCACAGGGATTGCTTTTTCCTTAACTTCAACCTGCTTCACTTCACGTCTCTCACCACTATTCTGCACAGGCGGGGCTAAACTTCCTTCTCAGTATTCTAACTTTACCCACTTCTCAGGGCGCATAAACGTCTTTGTGACAAATTTATTTTTTTAAAATACGTAGGAGAAAGGGCGTGGTTCATTCTCCTCATTAATTTCAATTCTCTGACTCCGTTCGCGCAAACCAGAACACTTTGGTAAGACATGATTGGTCTTCATAACCTCAACCCTAAGAAAAAGGGTTCGTTCCTTGTTTTCGTTTTCGTCAATGGGAATACGATTTATATCTGCTTCTCTTTCTGTTAATATATTTTCCTAATTTCTCCAGAAAGAGATAAATTTATTTCCCAAGCTGTTTTCGTCAATTAAAATATATTTCTTTACCTAATTTCTCAACAAAGAAACTCTGTTTTCCATCCCTGTGCAGGTCGCCGTCTCAACGGAGACACAGGCTAGATCACTTCATAATCTTAACCTTTGTCGGAGTTACCTCCTCCTTCTGTCCTTGAACCTGCAGAGGAACAGGGTCATTTCGACCTTGACCTCTCATTCATGCTCCTTACACACTCTTAACACGTCGGAGGGACCAGCAAATCCCCTTTTTAGTTAGGCTATATTACAAACCTAGTTGTAATATACTTTAGTCATTTTAGACCATAGTTATCTTTGGCTAACCTTGTATCCTTTTTTTTTATAGAGACTTTTCGGTTAGCTTAGCCAATTTCTCTTGCTGGTCCCCCGCGTCACAAGACAGTGATTTCTCCCTAGATTCGAGGAGGCTGTCGGCGGCCGCAACGGTCGTCTACACAGCCCCTTGGCCTTCATTGGCCAAGGGCGCCGATCTACGGCTGTGTATTAAGTTACGCTCCCATTTCTTTTTGTCTGCCAACTTGACGATAGTTGGGAACTTTTTTTCTCCTCCCTCTCTCTCTCTCTAAACTCAAGTTGGCATCCAATCCTTCCCAACGAACGCTGCAACAAGTTGGCATCCCGGCAATGACAAACAACGAGTTGGCAACACGAACTACAGTAACAAGTTGGCACCCCGGCAACGACTCAGCTTCAACAACCACCAAGCGATCATCCTGGCAACAACCCACATCAGCTTCAACCCCCAACAACGATGATCCTAGCAACTGCCAACCTTGACCATCAATGCCTGCACTAAAACTTCTGCAGCATCCAGCACTCCTGCAGCATCCGGCTCACTCCTGCAGCATCCGGCACCTCCACCGTTTCCGACCATCTTCATTTCCTTTTCCTTTTAGAATAAACCTCTATATATATCCTCGTTCTGTCGTCCATATTGTTTCACCGTCAGATTTAATCGCGTCAAAAATGTCAGCGGGCCTCTTGTGACCTCGTTCACCCCTTTCTGTGAAACGGGGCCGCTGGACCGCCCGCCACACCTTCGCAGCGGGTTCATTGTTTCCATTTCTAGGTTCGTTTTCGCTAATAAAATTATAATTCTCCTGCTTTTCTGTTTGCCAGCGACGCACGTTTTCCTAATTTCTGAAGAAAGAGATAAAATTGTTCCTCAAAATGTTTTTATCCGCATACCTGACTCTCGATAGATAAGGAAAATAAACTTTCGGAGAAAAGAAATCCAGACGTTTCCATTCTCATCAAGGAAAATGTCTCCACTCTCTCTCTCTATATATATATATATATATCTTCCAGTCTATATTTAATTTTGAACTTAACCCTTTTCTTTTTTCTGCTTAGAATTAATGTTTAATCACCTCACCGCCTTAGTGTCACACTTTTCTTTTATAACCATTGTTGAGAAAACTTAAGTCCGATGACTATTATCTCCCCCTTTTAGCTCTCCTGTACCGAATGTTTAATAAAAGATTTTACTCCTCTTCTGTACACACGTGTATTATTTTCCTCCGTTCAACCTTGTCAATTCCTAACCTTTATTCCACAGCAGCATGTCAACTTTAACAACCATGACAATTAGACAGTTGCTTCGCAGTAACATTTCTTTATCGTAGGTTTGGTTCTACTTAATAGCCGAATCTAGTTAAAGCGACATCTATGTTATTGTTAGACCATCAGATGAAATGAGAGTTCAAATATCTCGTCGGTGGAAACGTTTTTTTATTTTCCCGCTGTTGATTTAACACAACACAGAACGTTGTTGTCTATTCCTTTTGTTAATAGAAAACACTAATAATAATAATAAACTAAAGTTAAAAACGACGTTGAGTATACAGAAAATTATTCGCTTTTTGTAAATTAACACAATTCAGCAGGTATTGATCCGCTCCTGACTAAGTTCTTAAAAAACGAGAGAGGAGTATCATACTATAAATTAAAAAAATGAATTCATCACTCATTGATCCCTTCTGTTAAAGGAGAGGAGTATCAGTGGGGAAGAGTGTCAGACATTCTTAGTATTTATTTACCGGAAACTTTAGAAATAAAACGAACTGAATTAAGGGTATAAACAAATAATATATATTTATTTATTTGAATTAGATTGGAGTTATTTGTAATTCGGGGTAATGAAAGTACGTTTATAAGTCAGACCTTGGTAGCAATCGTGAGAAAGTCCGTTTCGGATCGGTAGGTAGACCTTGGTAGTAGTTATCATCTTAGAAAAATAGGTGGCAACTATCTGCTGTTTTTCTCGGTCCTAAGAAGGGCGAAAAAATGTATTAAGTAGATGACCGTTTAACTTCTTCACACGACATACTTGGCTGGTTTCTCTGGCTATCTCTTCTCTTTTTCACGACTATCAGTTTATATCATTTTTGACAAGGTTCCCAGACTACTGGCACAAAGCTTGGATTCGGCTAACATGAAAAGTCCCTTTATTAATCTTTTTTGATTG